CCTAGTGATAGATCTTTAAGCTCTCCCTACCTTCAGCAGTGTTGAAGTCCCAAATGGGGCAAGTCAAAAGGAATCCCAAGTCAATCTCATTTTTTAGCTGCGTGGGCCGCCCATTGGCCCCAGAGACATTTTTTCTAGCCTCAAGCAGAAGCTGTTGATAATCATCTCAAATAGCCTGGTGAGAGAACATAAGGGACTCCACCAATCCCATAAGGCATTGGGGATTATAAAGATCTGGGGAGAAGGGCCAGTACTGGAGGCTGGCGCTGGGGAGCCAAACATGGGCAGGGGCAGGGCCATAACCTGCATGGCTCCACCCGGACTGACTTGGCCCTGAAGATGGACCCACACAAGTGCTCTCCAGAGGTGGGTCGGGATGAGAACCAGACCGGGATGGGCCCTGTCTAAGACATCCTACCAGTGATCTAAAGTCAAACTTAGCGTTGTTGACCCATGGAGAGAGTAGAAACAGACACAAACAGTAGGAACAGAAGGATGTGACAAACAGAACAAACAAATCTACGTGATAGACAAATGGCACCCAAACCAAAGTTACAAAGCAGGAGGGAAGCTCAGTCTAGGGGCTGGCCATCTCCCGGAGAAGTGAGACCTCATCTCCTCCTCTCCTCCAAACAACCCGGGACTTTCATCCAGGGTGGGACCAAGGGTCTCAGGACACGTCTGTCTCCCCCTGTGGTCCTCTACCAAATACAAGTCCTGTACAGGCACAGATTCAAATCAGACACATCAGACATACATAAAACATATAGGTTGCGAGCTCTATCTTACCTCCAACTGGCAATGGAATTGAGTCTGGGGGTTGACCAGATCTCAGTGGGACCTCGAAAAATGTAAGACCCTCAAAATGAGGAGTCTCTCAGTTTTGGTCGGTACCCCCAAGAACTCAATGGTTAGTCCAGTTGATGCAACATGCAAGAGGCTTTAATGAACAGGAAACCTTTGCGCTAACGGGCTCCCTCAGCACGCAGGCTAGAGAGAAGCGTCATTCTCCAGTCACAGGCGTTTTAAAAGGCAAAACCCACAAGCTTAGGGAGGGAGTGACCCTCTGTCCATTGAATATGTGACCCTTTGAGGCCAGATGGTCTTGCTGTTAGGGTCAGCAGACCTTAGGGCCTCGGGGTGTGCTAATTAATTTTGTGTGGGCAAACCTGAGGTACAGTTATCTCTTTGTTCTTAAGGACACTATTTACCACCTGCTGACTCACGGAAAGGAGGGGTAGTGTGAAATCTTGGTATCCTGCTATCTTAGGGTTGGTGGTTAGCAAATTCTGCCTGGCATTCCAATAATTTGGGGTTCATTACATTTCTTTGCTAGTTTAAGTCTTTCATTACAAGGACTAACATGTCCGAAGACATTCTTGGTGGCCTCACAATACTTGATGGCCTCACAATAACTCCCATTAATTAGATCTTCCTTTTGATCTCTTCAGGTGGTTTCCAGAGTGATGAACCCACAAGCATAGTTTACACCCTTTCATAGCTGTTTCATTAGCCAAAAGTCAGCATGATGAGTTTCTGAAGTGATATATTATTTATGATTTATTAATGCTTGACTGAATAGCAGAAAGCAAAGCAGCATATCACTACAAATGTTACCCATGCAGCTTCTGGGTAACAACTTTTTGTGAAGAAGAAAATATTAGTGAGATTGGTTGTTTAAATAGTATGTCATATAGAGTCATGTCTATTGTTTGTGTAGTGTGATTCCATGGGATTTTTGCCAGTTCTCTTAGTATTTGGTTAAATTTTCCTTCTGAGTGATGAAGACCAAGCAGGTGGCCAAAATTCATTTTCCGTTCTCTGCTGTCAATGCCAGTGGAGCATCTACACCTGCAGGTCACTTGGGCCTTTTTTTTTTTTTTTTTTTTTTTTTTGCAAGACAGGGTTTCTCTGTATTGCTTTGGAGGCTGTCCTGGAACTCGCTCTCAGAGATTTGACTGCCTCTTCCTCCTGAGTGCAGTGATTAAGGGTGTGTGCCACCACCACCCGGCACCTCATATTCTTCTATCCTTTCTTTTACCAGTTGTCCATCAATGTGAGGATAAGTCAAAGTTTTCATTTTATGTACTGTGACTTCCTTTGAAGCCTTGAGGAAATTCTTTCTGCATTGAACCTCCGTTTTTTAGACTGAACAATGTTTCAAATTCATTGAGTGGTATCTATGGCCCCCATGAGCTAGACAACAAGTGAATAGTGGCTTGATCCCCAGGAACCTCATTGACCTTGTAGGCCAAGGGGAGCAATATTCTTCCTTGTAGTTGCTCTAACCAAATTAGAATTGCCTCCAAGTGCTATTATTAAATACTCGGAAGATCAGTGTTATACGGTACTTTTATTACTATATAATACTTCAGCACCCAGACATAATTCATTAAACTTATATTTTACCAGTCTTCGAAATAGTTATCTCTGACATTGTCAACTTTAATACTTTAATATATGTGGTTTCTAAGTCTCATTGTTTATGTTAGTTAGATGGTTAGTCAGATCTTCATTACCTGCCAGAATTTTCCAGTCCTTTTCATTCCAGAGCAACCCAGTCATTATGCTCTTCATACATCTAAGTCCTTTATGAAGTTCATTTACATATTTACATTCCTCTAACATGTTACCTTATGTACTGGTTCCTTTATCTAATCTCCTGAGACTTAAGAACAATAACACATTCTTTTATGATCTGTTGGGAGAATTTTTATTCCAGGTGAAAGGGGAAATTAATGTCTTTCCCATTCAGGTAAGTTCCAATGACAATGCAAAGTGCAATTTCATCACCGTTCACCCTGAGTTTATTGAGCTTACTTATTGAACATGGTTGAGAAGATACTTAGAAGAGTTTGGATACTGTGGTGGTTTGCATCAAAATAGCCCCAATAGTGCTATAAGGAATGATACTATTAGCAGGTGTGGCTTTGTTGAGGTTGGTGTGTTCTTGTAGGAAGTGTGTCAAGTCACTTGTCTGCCTACCAGGATGTAGAAACTCTACCCTCTTTCTCTATCATCATAAAATTTGCCTGTACAGTACCATGCTTCCCACCATGATGATAATGAACTAAACCCTCTGAAATTGTAAGCCAGCTCCAATGAAACATTTTCCTTTATAAGAGTCACTATAGTCATAGTGTCTCTCCACAGCAATAGAAACTCTAACTAAGGCAGCCATACAGGAATGTCTCCACCCCGTGCGTACAATGGCTCTCCCATAGCTGCATATGCGGAGCTCACCTCTCTAATCTTCCACAACATTACATTACATTTTTCAGTATACAAAAGAAGGAAGCCTGATAGTATTCAAGGTAAACTCCCCTTTTAAAAGATGGCTTTCTTATAGGTGCAAATGCAGAGCCCACCTTCTTCCAAGTCTTTTCCAGGTGATACACTCTACCTCCTCCTCAAAACCACAAGGCCACATGTCATTAGAGCTGAACTGCCTACGATTGTCTGGGAGAGAGGCTGTATACTCAGAAGGAGAGGACCCCTTCTTCTATGATGAATATCAACAGTCAGCAAATCTGGTGGCTGTCATCTTTTGTGAGCAGGCACAGCTGATCATAAGAAGTTGTCAATTGTTTGTCCTAAGATAGTGCTGAGCAAAAAGAACTAAATAAAGGAAACTTGAATAGAAATTGTGTATAAAATAATGTAATAAATATTTCTTAGGTATAATCTGTTAAACTAAAGCTTTGAGAAAACATGACAGTCTTCATATAATACACAGAATTACTACTATAACCATGCTTTTGATTTTAATGGGTGCTTGCAGGCTTTATAATGAAAGAGGAAATATATAAGAAAACATCATGAAATTGATATGTGTATAGTATTCAGTACAACACAACTAGGAAATCCCTCTTAAAACTCTGATGCTCCAGTTTACCATAGAGAGATCTTTACACAGTGGATGTCTGTCCTCTCAATGGATGAGCAGCCCATGATCTGTTTTTACCACACTATGTGACTAATTATAGAATACCTAAAACAAACAAACATTTACATTCTATCATCCTAATCTCTAATAGGCCTGGTAGCATACTACTTATTTTGGGGGTGTTTTATAGTCACCCCCTTAGCTAAATTCTACTTTGTGTGACTTACAGTCTCCTAAGCATTGATAAATCCTCTATTACCAATTCTACTCTTCAACATCACAGCTTAGTTTGGAGTGCTACCTGGTACATGAGATGCCATTTATAACCTCCACAAAATTAACTGCGAATGGATGCTGGGAGCTGGTGGTGCACACTTTTAATCCTAGCACAGGGAAGGCAGAGGCAGACTGATCTTTGTGAGTTCCAGGCCAGCCTGGTCTACAGAGTGAGTTCCAGGACAGGCTGTCTCAAAACCCTGTCTCAAAAACAAACAAACCAGAAACAAAACAAACAAAAAATCAAAACCAAAAACAAAACCTGCAAAGGGATCTTACACCTAAATGTCAAATGCCAAGTGTAAAACTTCTAGAAAATACTTGAGAAGCTAGACTTGCCTAAGCTTTGGAACCTTTCTATAAGGCCCTGATGTACAGAGCTAAAACAACTCCTCTAAAACCTGGAATTTGTTTGGGACAGCAAATTGCCAGGATCAGGGAGTGGGTTGCTTCAGATCTGAGTTCCAACTCTTTCCATACATGAGGCTCTGGTTTTCAGTCTCAAGGCTACTGTGGACTTTGTTTATAATTCTTGAGATTCCCCTGTGCTTCTCTTGTGTATTGTCCGATTAGCCTCTTCCTGAATTTTACAGTTCTTTTTAAAACTGAACCTGTTGGTTTACATTAACAAGACATTTGCTGTTGTAATTGGCAGAAATCTTCAACCAGTCCGGGATAAGTTTTTGCTTGGTGTGGAAACCAGGGCTGGGAACCACAGTACTGTGTGCCTTCAGTTCTCCTAGTCCCCAGAAGTACGTCCGTCACTCAGGCCTCACTAGCCAATCAGGGTTTCCGACGGACCTGCCAATCAGATGGGCGGGTTCTTCCGGACACCAGACCTCTGCGAAAGAAGGCGGAAGTTGTCCGTGTGCCGAGGGAGGCGGAAGTTGTAGTTGTCCGGTGTGTTTCGCTGTGCACTCCGCTGCGTTAAGCTGTGGGCGAGTCCGGCAGCAGCACAATGGTGAGTGAGGGGTCGCTGTCCCCAGACTGGGAGGAGCGGCCGGCTGAGCAGCGGAGCCGGTCCGGTGGCTCCTCCCCTGGCTGGGTGGGAGTCAGCGTGGTCCTTCTAATTTTGTGGGCCGGGCGGCAGCCTCTGAATACCTTTGCTCCACCGGGGGCTGAGTTTGCGCGGAGCATTGGGACCAGGACTGTGCTGGGAAGTGTCCTCGTTGTGGACATCACTGTCAAATACCAGCACCTGTCTTGCCTGTGTTGTCGCATATTTACCCAAATCGGAGAGCCCTGGGCTCTCTAGTATGTTCCTGAAGGTCTGCACGTTTAACATTTAACATTTAACATAGGATCCGTCTGGAGTTAATTTTGTGGAGCTTGTAAACAGTATCTTATGTGTAGAGTAGCATTTAACTACTAAACTGATGTGGAAGCGTAGAATTGATGGTATGAGGATTCACCAATTCTTAGGAGACATTAAGTCACATAAAGTAGAATTTAGTTAAGGGAGGGCTGACTCACAAATACCCGCCAAATAAGTAGCTGTTAGAGAGTAGTATGACAAGATGTAAATGTTTGTTCCCCGGGATTAACCAGCCATTAAGCTACATTCCCATAACAAAAACAAAGGAGACAACCCTGATTTACCAGCAGTCCCCCCCCCCCCACCATCAAAGAATAGGCCTCTGACATGCTGCTCAAGAGGGCATTACAGAGTCACAACCAACATTAAGTCCTGGTGTGCCATAAAGGTGCATTAATTCTAGAACAGCTGCATCTCCAGACTTTTTGAAAAGTGGTTTTGAGTCAGGGTCTCCTGTGTTGATTGAGTTGGACTTGAAACCCGTCTGTAGCACCACAGGACATTGCCCTTTTATACCCATGATTGAAGTTTAAGGCAGTGTACTCTAGGGCTCTTTCATAAAGAAAGATGTGATGGGGAGAGTGAGTGACTTTCTGTGTAATTCCCCAGCATGTGTTAATTCCTTCCATGTGGACGAAGACAGACAGAATTGGTGGGTGTACATTTTAGGGAGTTTAGCTTGAACTATTGAGTATTCAGTTTCTAATTCGGGAGTTACCATATGCACATATGTGCAGTCCTGGATGATACAGTTAAAAGTCAGATGAGAGGTTTGAGACATAGGGCATTGGCTGTAAATCCGTGTCAGCTTATAACACTCAGCAGCTAACATTTTACATGGGACAAAGTCATATAATGTCTTATTAATATCATTCTCTCTACCAGGGAAGTGCCTACTCTGTTCAAAGTCAGTATAGCAGAGGGTTCTTCCAATTGTATTTATCATTTTAAGAAGACAGCTATTGATACCACTTTTAAAATTTCATTTTCTTTAAATGAATTACTGGTCTAATGTTTGTTTCCCTTTTCCTATGCTTCTTTGTCATTAAGAATTTCACCCTGTATTAAGTGCTATAAATATACATACATATGCATACATGCATGTATGTATGTATGTATGTATGTATGTATATCACAGTTTAGAGCAGCGGTCCTCAACCTGTGGAGTTAAGGCTTCCTGGGGGGGGGGGTCAAACAACCTTATCTTATCAGGGGGATTGCCCAAGACCATCAGAAAACTCAGATATTTATATTGCAATTCAAAACAGTAACAAAATTATAGAGTAGAAATGAAAATAATTTTGTAACTGTGGGGGGCAGTCACCACAACATGAGGAACTATATTAAAGGGTCACAGCATTAGGAAGGTTGAGAACCACTGCCTTAAATCAATGTCTCCTATAGTAGCCCAGGCTTGCCTCACACTATGTAATTGAGAATTGCTTTGAACAACTAATAATCCTGCCTCTGCTGCCCAGTGCTGGGAAGACAGTCCTGCAGCTGGTTGGACTGGGCCTTGACTGGTCAGTGAGAAGGAAAATTAGGCCAGCTAATGATTGTCCCCCAACTTTCCTGGATTTTATTGGGAGCATACAAATTCTGTGGAACTTGTGTAAGAATTAAGTTCACTGGCCAACTGTAAAGCAGGTGTAGTCTTAGCACAGAAAGGGATGGGCAAGAAGGAGGGTGAAAACTTACCTGCTGTGACAGTAGTTGACATTAGCAATGAATGAGTAGGTGTTCTGACTGGCCATTTCTCTGGTCCACAGACCAGGCAATCATGACTCTTCTCATATAGAACTGAAATTCATGTGAAAAAAAATTACACTAATTTCTCTAGTTCAAGCAAAATAGAAGATCTGGATAAAATGGTGTGCCCTGCCTAACATGACTGTGTTTTCCAGTTTTAAGATGTTCAACCTGAGAGAAATACTTGGTGTGCTCTAATACAAATCCCCAGTCTTTGAAGCACATGACCATAAAGCCTGTTTCAACCTTTTATCATAATTTTTGAGGATTATAATTACATCATTTCCACCATATCTTTCCTGCCTCCAAGTCCTCCCGTGGACTCTCATTGATTTTTAATTCATGGCTTCTTTTTGCTTTAACAATAGTTACTGTTTAAATGTGACCTATTTTGGCTGCAGGACTTTCCTGCTATGAAGCAATGGGGTGGCTATTCTGGACATTGGGTGTATAATTGAATGTGCACACAAAGGACCCTGTGCCTTGGAAGAGGAATAGGAAGTCCTCTGGGAGTATGGGAGATTCTACTAAACTACAAATTTCCCAGATGAGGGCACTGTCTTCTGGGGCGGAAGAGCAGAACTGGGAAGGTCTGTGACTTCTGAGTAATTTTATTTCTGCTCACCCAGTATGGGAGCTGCTACTATTCTAAAACCCAGCTGGGTGGCCCTAGCTATTGAGGGACTCTGGGAAGGCTTAGTTAGCAATCAGGTAGCATGCAGGTTCTTTCCAGGATTCTCCTCTGATTCTGCTCTAGAGAGATGTAAGGGAGACCCCAAGCCATGCTATGGTGAATGTGAGGGCACTGACCCCAGACCAGAAATAGTTGAATTCAATCTCAGCTAGAATGAATTGTGAGCCATACTGTGCTTCTGTTGGTTCATGCTGTACAGTGGCTGTTGGCCTCTGAGCCTTCCTTAGGGATGGAGATGCTCTGCAGCCCTAGTCATGGGAACCTGTGATATTTGTAAAACCACTGTCCAATGTCCACACACAGGTATTACTTTTAATGTGCAGTAGGAAGACAGATTGGAAAACTGAATGTCTGCTTTCTAGGAGTTCTGAATATTGCATTCCACATTCAGTTTTGTGTGATAAATTTTACAAATAGCTTAGACACTGGTAGAAGGGAGATGATGGGGGAATCATCCTTTGGCCGTACTCGATCGGGGAAATTCATTTCCAGGGGGCAGAAGGTGTTTCTGAGCTGCAGAGCTTTTTCATTTGTGCATAGTGTTGCTTTTGTGGATAGGGCAGACTCCTAATCCATGTGACATGAAACAGACTTTCAATTATTCTTGTACATTGTTTTGTGTGTGTGTGTGTGTGTGTGTGTGTGTGTGTGTGTGTACATCAGTGGGGGCAGGGTTTGCCTGAAACCACAAAGGCACAAAAAGGCAGGGGCTACAGAGCCATAGCCCACCTTTCTGAAAAACTTCCTTTCCAGAGAGAGCTCCAGATTGTGAAGCTGTTTGGAAGAGAGACCGCTAGCTGGAAGGTCAGAAATATAAGAGTTTAGGGGCCACTTTGAGTTATTTTTGTGAAGTTTGTGTTTATTTACCTGCAATGGTAGGTAACATTGGTCAGGTTCACACTTTTCTTGGCTGAGTTCTTAGGTCTTTTGAAGAAAGCTTGATTATCTTTTTGTGCTTTTGTTCTTGACTTTTTCTCTCCATCCCTATTCTTTCACAAATAGTACACATTTTAGATTGGTGTAATTTTATGGTAAGTACAGAAGTCATATTGTGTTGATGTGTTTACAATTTCTTCAAAATCCTATTGAGATTTCTCAATTTTCCACATGGAATGTAGCTTTAGATTTAGGTTTCCTATTAAAAGTCTTTGGAAATTTTCTTTGGATTGTATTAAAATTTTGCTTCAGATTGAACTTACCCAGTGACTTTTTTAAAAAAATGTGACATTAATGTCATGGTAATGTTTACAGTAACATAAAAAGGTAAAAGATATTATTCTACTTAATAATTCATTTAGCAAACTACAGTAAATGTGTGAATCTGAAACTGATGTGGAATAATGTACAAAGCCATAGAAAGAGGACTACAGTGTAGAGAGTTTGTTGACGCAGAATTCTTTGTAATTGACAAATAAAAGATATCCCACTAAGTATGATTTAATTGAGAAAAGTAAAAGTGTGAAAATAAAATGTGGTCTAGAATCCAACAATGAGTCTAAATGTGGATGAGATTATGTAGTAACATGCAAAATAAACTCTGAGAGCAATAGGTTCAGATTTCCCACAGATATCAACTAAAATCAGTTAAAGCCATGTTGCCTTGTTATAGTTGATATATATATATATACACACACATATATATATATACATATATATATATATATACACACACACACATACATATATACACACATTTGATCATATTACCTACATCTAAGCAACCTTGTTATCACAAATGAATAAACCATGTTCTCCAGGCATTCTTTTTCTATTCATGTATTTACGTGTGTTTACAGTATACAGAGTTCTCATAAAATGACTGAATTGCTGTGGATCCCAGCAATCTTCTCAGTGTATTGTCCATGTACTTAAAATTCCTATTAAGAAGTGTCAGAACTGTCATGCTCATGGCAGTTACATTCATGGTGGTATAAGTAGGAAAATAACATGAATATTCACTTATTGAGGACAAGATGCATGCCTCAGGGTGCCATTGTGCTAAATGTTATTGTCATAATAACAATGGCTAACACTTAGAAAGGACTCTTACAGCATTTAATTACAGCTGAGGCAGTGTCAACCCACTTCTTTCTCCCATCCTGTTTTAATCAGTAATGCACTCTCATTTGTCAGATGGGTATGAGAACTTCAGCCATCTTGCCTACACTACAGGTAGCAATAGAAAATGAAGAGCAGAAAGAAC